ATTTTTTTTCCATCTCTGATCACTGAAGTTACTAACGATGCCAGAACTGGCTTTTGTCTTTATATAAAAACCGAAGTCTGTAGTAGCTGGAGTCAGATTTCTGGAATGAAGGAAATGTGGAAATCTCTGGACAAAGTGTACTAGATTGGCTTAAAAAAGAATAAGTTCAGAAGCTGTCAAGCTCTGAAACCTGGAGACATTTTGTGATATGGAACAAGAGTGCAGTAACCGTATATTTTAATGTTCCCAGGGCTTTCTTGTTGTCCATAAGGTTCATTAACAGACAAAAGGGATAGAAAAAATTGGCAGATCTGATGTTTAGTCTTAAGTGGGTTTTATTGTACTCAGGAAAAAGGCTTTTGTATTTATTTTGGGTACCCTTATTCAGAAGACCTTCCCTCATTTCTTACCTTTCCAGTTGTTCAACTATTCTTTGTTACCTTTGAGATAAAGAAAATGTTTCTCTTGGTGTCAGAAAGCCGATTCACAGCCTCTGTAGCAGAAGGGGAGGTATGCAGCTGACTGCCAGGTGAACTCAGTATCAAAGGTTCTTAAGTACAATGTTTACCAAATGCTCGGGAGGTTGAATCTCAAGATTGAGAATGCGCATAAGTAGCTGATGAGAGACCATATTTTTCTTACCCCTGAGGCTGGAATCGGGGATTATGAGAAGCTGACATTTCAGCATCTTTATCAAAACTTTTCGAACTCTTACAGTACTTAAACTATGCTTCCCCCGCTGTTACATGACTGTTCATAACTTAATTTCCCATCAGGTTCAGAATTTTCTCTGAGCACAGCTAGCAGTGACAAATTAACCCGAACTCTTAATGGAGTTAATTGTTTATAATCAGGTCCTAAACACGTTTTGAATAAGGTGAAAATGGACTGGTGGAAGATAACACACTGGCTTTTCTGTGCAGCAGTGATGTGCTGGTGGCATCAAATTCGTTTGGCTTTTGCGGCTTTTACCTGTGCGAATGGATCGCTGTTACCATGTGAAGTCTGCTATCCAGCACACTACAGAGCCCCAGTGAACTGCACAAATAGCCAGAAGCCTGTTCTGAAATGAGCAAAGCAGTTGTTCAAAACCGGCTTTTGAACACAGCCTGAAGTATCCTTAATTAAATCTGTGATAATGAGGGGACAAAATCCAAGTCACTTGGGGGGACTACTGTAAATGTTTAACTTGTTTCCTGTATGTGTAGAAGGTTTTCTAGAAGAAGATGCCAGTACAGCAGACTACTAAAATGTTGGCTAATGTAAGATCTGTCATAGGCTAACGGTATATTGGTATTTCAGACAGCTTCAAGACAAATCTGACGCACAGCTATCAGAAAAAAAAAAAATCAAAAGCACCTTGAAGCATATGGTTATTATTTATTTCTGTGCATATCTTTAAAATGCAGCAGGTGCTTCTCTGCTTTCTTAGGCTGATTCATTCAAGAAGGGGGTATTTTAATTTCCTCACTGTTTCAGTTGTAGGTAGGCTTTACTTGAATCTTGAAATCCTGGTTTTATGGGTAGATTTTGTGCTTGAGGTGAGGGCAGCCAGTTGCTTTCCCCTCCTTATTTGGCATCACCTTCTTCCATATCAGTAAGTGTTCTTGCCAGCCCGGAACGATCGCACGTGCCGATTCCCAAGGTAAGCAAGAAAAGTTTGTGTTTGCAGATTGTTCCACTGCATTGCACTTACTTTGCTGTCACTTTAATTCCTCCAGTTCCTTGCTGGTCAGCTGTACTGAGCTCAGCCTTCCCACCTACCTTTAATGACACTAGTCTCTTCCTGAAAACATGAAGTTTGGAGAAACTGAAATATGGATTCCAAGTACTAACTTGGGGATTTTAGTATGTGCCTTTGTTAAAGTGTAATGTAGCAGCGCCTGCACTGAACCAATCTTGGAATATTCCTAACGTTGGCTCAAAATGCCTATTTTTTTCCTTAAAACTCTTGTGGGTCATTCCACAATGAGAGACTTCATTAAAAACGGGGGTGGGGAGAGGGAACACCTTTATAAAACAGAGTCTTTGTGATTCCACGGTTTATGATGGTTATATTCCAAAGCCTGAAAAAGCTTTCATCTTTATTTTTCAAGCGTTCTTCACAAAATAAAAAGTCATTTATATATGTCTAGTTGATTTGTCTATGTATGTCTCACTGATACGTTGACTGAGAACAGCATGAATTGGTTTCTAACACTGGATGGGGAACAACTTTCATTAAGCTTTGATTTCCAAATCGGTTCCCAAGACAGCAGCATTCCGATCGCTGCGAGAAGTTTCCCAACGTGGCCGGGGTTGCACCGTGCAAGGACCTGGCTTCGGTTGGAGGACTGGGATTTTGATGCAAGTTAAAGTGATTTTTGGCTTGTGTTTTTCCTCTTTTTCAGAAAGCACGGTCTAGTATTAACTGCCCGTTATTTCGACTCCATATTTGTGCATTAATCTGGTCTATTTTTCAAGTATAAATCACCCAGAGGAGCGTAGCTGTGCATAGAGTAAGAAACATTGCCGAGGAACGGTTGTCTTCTGTATCTGCTCCTGGGGCAGTCCTTGTAAAAGAGCAAGCGTTCAGCTCTGGGAATCTTACTGTGAGAAAACACTGTGTTTTCTTTTTCTTTCCCTCTTAACCCATTCCAGTTTGCTTCAGCGATCACGGAGCAGGAGGAAGTGGCCAGTTTAAAAAGCAAAGTCCTTCTCAGCCGCTTTAATTCTCCCTCAGCGGGCACTGGTCGTGTTCTGCAGGTCCAAACCCCAAGAAGGAAGAGCGATGGTGCAGGGGATGGAACTGGGTAATGATACAGCTCCTTCCCTGGATCTTTATTACAGCCAGGCAGTGGAGACCCATCAGCTGTGTTTATTGAGGGGAGTTTGCAAGCTGCTCCTGTTTGATCTCGGCGTTCGGGCCTTGTAAGAGCATCGATCCACTTGCTAGTTTGTGGGTTTCTTGCTAAGGGCGTACCAGCTTTTTGTGGTTAACAGATTTAGAACTTTCTGCATTACAGAGCGTTCCCATGAACTTTAGCTCAGCCCAAACAGATTTTGATCCTGGTGGTTGTGTTGGGATGGGGATCAGCAGGGCTTAAACACCTGCTTTTGCTAAAATTGCTGGGCTGCGAGGTGCCTCCTCGCTCCCCTCCGACCGCCCCGTGGCATGTGGCCCTACCTCCTGCCTCTGCTCTGAGCTCCTACCAGCCCTCCTGCCTCCTGCCCTGAGCTCCTACCCGCCCTCCTGCCTCTGCTCTGAGCTCCTACCAGCCCTCCCGCCTCTGCTCTGAGCTCCTACCCGCCCTCCTGCCTCTGCTCTGAGCTCCTACCCGCCCTCCTGCCTCTGCCCTGAGCTCCTACCAGCCCTCCTGCCTCCTGCTCTGAGCTCCTACCCGCCCTCCTGCCTCTGCCCTGAGCTCCTACCCGCCCTCCTGCCTCTGCCCTGAGCTCCTACCAGCCCTCCTGCCTCTGCTCTGAGCTCCTACCCGCCCTCCTGCCTCTGCCCTGAGCTCCTACCAGCCCTCCTGCCTCCTGCTCTGAGCTCCTACCAGCCCTCCTGCCTCTGCTCTGAGCTCCTACCAGCCCTCCTGCCTCTGCTCTGAGCTCCTACCAGCCCTCCTGCCTCTGCTCTGAGCTCCTACCAGCCCTCCTGCCTCTGCTCTGAGCTCCTACCAGCCCTCCCACCTCTGCTGGGTAACCCCCAGCCTTGTTCTTCTCCCCTGTGGCTCATCCCTCTCTTTATTCGCCCTTTTATCTGCGGCTTCTCCCCGGGGGCTCAATGTGCCGCAGGCCTTTGCCTTTGAATTCCTCTCCAGTTTCCTTTTTCCCCGGTGATGGCAGGGAACTGCCGATCGCCTCTGAACACGTGCACTCTTCTGTTCCACGCAGAAGCTGCTGAGACCTCTGTGTAATTCCGCTGCCATCGCTGGCCAGAGCCACGTTGTGACTGCAAGGCCCTGCCCGTGCTTACGGAGCAGCTCCCGGCTGTTCTTAATGCCCAAGGAAGCTGAACCCTCCTCCCACCCACCAGCCCTTCTGCTCACAGAGCAAAGGATACTCCTTCGTTTTGTTCCCACTGGATGCTCAGGACAAGGACAGGCTGTGATGGGTTTTGGGTGGTTTTTTGCATCATAAGTAGGTACAGCCACCTCTTCGTCTCATTTAGCTAATAAACTGAGTAGTATTACTGCAGAACGACTACGCCTGTAGCTGTAATGTACCTGTGGGGCATATCTTCCTTCGAGGTGGCGTGTAGGACTGTTCAGAGATTCCCCAGTCAGATTTTGCTTGCAGTGATTTACAAATTCTTGATTTTTTTCATATCCTTGTCTCTGTGCACGGCTGGTGGCCGAATGCACTTGGTTAACGGCCAGGTTGTGGTAAGAAGGACTTGCTCAATTCTGCAGAGGATCAATTTTTTTTATTATGGCCGTGCCCATAAAACAACATGGAGAACAAGGGAGGGAAATCTGGAAAGGAAATGGGCTGATCCTTTATTTTTGTTAGTTGAATTATGCAGCAAAAGTTTTAACAAATAGTAAAACAATTTTCTGAAATTCACATTAAGAAGCGTGGCAATTCACAAAGCAATACAAATAGAAAACCTCTTCATATAGACTACAATTGCATGCTTTTCTTTCTTATTATACTGAAAGGCTTTCAGACTAAAAGACTTACGGCTTTAAAAAAGAATTAAAAAACCCCCAGACAAATTGTTTCGTGGAAAAATGACCAAGTACACGGTACCTAGGCACACAAACAAGATAAACTTAGAAAATGTATTTATCTAAGTATCCTTTCCAGAATTATGCCAATTGGAGTAAAGAAAAGTTTGTAAACACTACGATTATCATTAATAAAGAAGCATTTTCTTTCGTGAAGTCATTAAGATAAACTGCTACTTAAAAAGCAGTGGTCAGTGCCTCATTCTGGGTCCCCACGGCCCGGTGTGGGGAGTTGTGGCGACGGTGGCTCCTCTGCGGTGCTGCGTCTCCCGGGGCCGCTGCCCCGGCTCAGAGCTCGCTGTGCGGGAGCATCTGCGCTCGTCTCACGTTTTCAATCACTGTGGAGGAAGCACGGAAGGTACGGAAGATGACAGGGAAGATTCTTGCATCTACACAGCTCAGGGTCAGAAATGAAAGCCGCTCTGGCTAGCTCGACTTTTAAAGAGCCTTTAATTTTTATTATTATTATTATTATTTTTTATTTTAATGACTGATTATTTTGTCTCAGCAACAGTGTTTGACCGCAATTAGCGATTGGCCTCTAGGAGCTATTAAGCCACTGGTTTGGGAGGAGAAATTTTCTTTCCTCTTGGACTGTTTTGCTAACTTGCCTTGGTAGCAGAAGTATCTACAATGCCAGGCTTTGCTCGGAGCTCCAGCGCCAGGGTGCCATGTGAATACACCCGTTCATCTGCTGGAGAGCATGGGTGGCACTGCTGCTCTTTGTGTTCTCCAGGCATCCCATGAGGTTCAAAGCTCTTAAGAGTCGGGCAAAAGCGTGTGCTGCTGAAGTGGAAAAGCTAGGAAAGAGGACTGTGAACCCAAATCGCAGTACTGTTGTTAGCCCGCTTGCCTGAGGAAGGTGTTTGTTCTGTAACCCTTAGCTTCTCAATCTGGCTCATCCCAGCTTCCTGTGATCTGGGGATCGAGACCTCAGAAAAATAGTTTTCTAAGTGTTATTACAGCGGGCAGCCAGGAGAGGGGAGTGCAGAGACACCAACCCGTAGGAATTAATCCCACTCCTTGCAGAATATGTATTTTTAAACATTGGTTACCCCCTAGGGCAAGAGCTATTGAAATAGCTTCAGCGGTTTGGGTTGTGAAGCAGAGCAGCAGTGCACTGAAATCTGTATCTGCTTTGAACCAAAGTGGTGGGGTTTCGGGGCCAAACTTACATGGTGTTTGGAAACTCCACCAGCAGGGTTCAAACATGGAGGACAGCTCTCCCTGTACTTTACTGCCCAGTTTTTCAGAAATAGTCAGCAATGGATTTTTTTTCCCCAGAAGGCGCTTACACTAAATTTACTTGTCATCTTTATAAAGGGCTTTGAGCAGATTTTACTGCAGAAACAGATTCATCGTTTCTCAAGATTCTCTTACACTCTTTTCCTTGAACCACATTTGTCTTATACAAACTTGAGATGGCTAAAAGGGGATCAGTAAAGGGCTCATTTTACTCACAGATCAAAGTATCTTCTGGTTTGTAAGTGTACACCCTGTTCCCATATTTGCCAGTTAGATCAGCTCGAACGGTCATTGAAGGATCTTGGAGGGGGGGGGGGGGGGGGAAGTACAAGATATTAGCAGCTCCAGCTTTGTGAAGTGGGGTGGTGATGAATAATTTTGTGAAGTAAAAGCCTTTTCAAATGCTGTTGATTGGCCTTTTTCTGGCCAGAAAGGTACATCTTGAAGCATCGCGCTCTTGGCAGCTGTAAGTTAATGAAAGAAGTTCTACTTCTGAAACCCATCACAAGCAGATCCTCTATGTACAAGCCTCGTCTGGTGGTCCGAGATGATTGCCCCTCGTCCCCCTCACACCCAGCAGTTTGATGGCAAGTTTGCCTTTTGTGCAGTTGTGGGTCTCGGTCAGCGATGGGCCTTTGCTCTGCCCTTGGACAAAGCGTTTGTCATTTATCTGAGGACAGGTTTGGAGCATTCAGGACAAGATGTTGTGGCTCGGTGTCACGTAGGCAGGACCAGACTCTTAGGGGATGTATGTTAGTTGTTAAGAGAAGTGATGTTTGTTTCCACTAGTAGAATGTCGCAGTCCTGCCTTTAAAAAGATGGTATAGTGGTTTTGGATGCCTGACTTTAGGCCTGATTGCTAAACGAGTACTCTGAAATAAGGTCCAATTTGTGGATTTTTTCTGCTTGGGCTGTTCCCTTTGAAAGCCTGGGTTATTCTTCCAGCTTCACCGCTCAAAAGAACGTGGGCTGTTACTTGGAGCAACGGGAATTCAGTGGGGACTATATAGAAAAAAAAGCCACCCTGCTATCCCCCTGACCCCAGAGACTCACCCACGGAGAGGGTCCGAGGGATGTAGTGGCCCTTGGGCGCCGTGTTGTCGTGGCTGCTGGAATGCTGGCGGGAGTTAGGCGGCCTCTCAGTGACAGGTCGCCGTCCCCGCGCTAGAAATGGGCTGAAGAGCTGAGCTTGCCTCGTCTATCACCAACTCACGGGGCTGGTGTGACCAAATACGGGCTTTCCCTGTTCTGTCCAAGCTGGCCCCTGCTAGGTGCTTGGGGATGAGGACAGAAGCCCCGGGCACGAGACTTCAGAAAGTCTGATGGCTGGGTATTTTTGTCCTGTATGAGAATACTACCTGTGGGTGGAGTATACAAAATGGTACTTCCATACACACATACTTATTGGTATGGAAATGTCTCCCTGCCCCCTCTCCAAAGAGGAACTGTGGTGGTGTTTTGCAAACCTTGTAAGTCCCCAGAGAAAGTGGAAGACAAAAGGGAATTTCAAATACCGTTTCAAAGATGTCTGAGGTGAATCAGTTTCTGCTTTTAATATGACTTATTCCACTCTCCAGTAAACATTTCAATTAACATCTTAAAATACAGACTTACCACCAGATTGAGCATGATAAAGTCCTCCTGGGCCATCTGCTGGATCTGTGGGCTAGAAGCAAATGCTTCTCTTAAAGCTAAAAGAAACAGATTATTTGGGTGGAAAAAAATATTCTGGATCACTGTTTTTCATGGCTTTGCATCATCTTACTCTGATTCTAAATGCACCAGTAAATGACCGGCACTACTTTCCGACGTGCACATGGCACACAAAGTTTGGAGGACGTGGTTCTCACAAAGTAAAATGCAAAAGACATTTAGTCCTTGAGAAACTGAAATGCTGGTGTACATATTTTGTTCCCAGTGGCTGAACGGGTCGTGAATTCATGTGGCTTGGCTTTATCAGGCTAGCTGTGGCCCTGCCCTGCAGAGCGTAGGAGTCATCTGCACAATTTATGTTGCATGCCTTTAGGGTAGCAAATAGAGAAGTTTTGTAAGAAATGGTGGGGCCAGACTTCCCCAAACAGATCAACCTCGCTTTGTTCTCGGTAACCTAGGAGGTTATCAAGTGATAGTGAGTGGTCTGACACACGCTTTGGCAGGAGGCCTCGAAAGAATAAGCGGGAAGTGTATAAAACAGGTGGCAGCAGACTGGAAGATGATTTGAGCTTTCTAAATGCTGTAAACTATCGCACTTCTAAGGTTTTTCTCCGCAGATGAAAATACGCTGTTAAAGGTGTGTTGTAGTCCCTGTGAATCAGTGTACATGAGGCTATAATTGTCCTGATGTCTGACTCCCGCTGCTTGCGGGATGCCTGTGATGTCAAAGCCACGCAAAGCAATGCAATGCAGGCAGCGGGATGCCTAACCTCCCTGGCTTGACACTGTCTACTTTCAGGGCCTCTTTCAGGAAGGCTGCAACTTCCCCGAGCTTTAATCACACGAGCTGATGATTTCCATGCTTGCTGGCGCCCAGGACTGGAGTTGGGAATATGCAGGAAGGAGAACTGACAGGAGATCAGGGGTGGGAAAGAGGATAAAGGAAAGCTTGGTGTCTACCTGCCTGTTTCATAGCAGTGTGCCTCTGCCATGGAAGTTTTGATCTAGAGCACATTACTGCCCAGAAAAACTTTACAACTGTTTTATTCCCCAACTCTTCTCAAGGGTCCCCAGTGAGTTTTGTGTCTCTCCAGCTTTCCTTGCATGTGCTGGAAAGGCTTCACACCGAATGCTCAAATGCTTTGTAAGGAATGAGCACTGACAGGAAGACTCGGATCCGCCAGGTTGTTTGGAAGGGTTTGCTTTGCTCACCTTGGCTGTAAGGACACCCTTCCAAGTGATGAATAACCATCAGCGGCTTCTTGCTGAAACGACATTGCAGGAAAGGAGTGGGGAGGCAACTCGGACCTTTTACAGACTGCACTTGCAAAGCGTTAAGGCACTGAGTTGCTCCAGGGATGTGTTTACATTGTGAGGAGCAAAAGCACCCGGGCTAGTAGGGAGGTGTTGTGGCCACGGCCACGTACAGAGGGGCCTATCATTGAGAAGGAAAGACTGGAGGCACTGCAAGGACGTTTGCTCATCTCCCAAACCGTGTGTTCTCACCAAAAGCTTGTTCAGCCTCCATACCATACAGCAAAATACTTGTATCTTGCTTGCGAGACACAAGGCACAGTCTGAGCATCCTGGTACAGAGCACAGCTTTGTTCAGTGCAGTTAAACGTAGGAACTGGCATAACAAAAATCGAGGATTACCTGTATTTTGATCGTGCTAAACCTTCTTCGTATGTCTGCACCCATTCAATGTCATCTCCCCAGCCTGTTGAGAGCACCCTTCGTTAATTTTCTGGTCAGTAGGGATGAGGATGTTCTGCTGAACTGAGAGCTGGAGCCACACGTGTAATCAGGTGACACAAACTAGGCATCTTCCCTCAGGGTGTCCAGACCCTCAAGGTCGTCTGTGGGCACCGGGAGAGCCCTGAGCAGAAAGGTGCAAAGAAACAGCTGATAAGGGAGTAGGGGGAAACCCCAGCCTTGCTAGGGCTCAGCTGGTGGATTAGATTTACAGACAGGTATTTCCAACGGCTCGAAAGCTGGAGCCCAGAGTTCCTTCCTGAACCTGTCCACCCTCCCAAAGAGCTGAACCAGGCTGGCTGCTTGCATATGGCTTCCTGCAGTAATGGAACAAGGGATTGCTCGACAGGCTGGGGGCTAGGGAGGGTAGAGATGTAAGCCTGTTTTTTGGTGTGAGGTTGCCTGGATCTTACTTGATGGAGCCGAGCTTGGACCTGAGCCTGGGGCTGCCTGTTGAGCTCAGCCTCTGCAAAGCTGAGCAGCAGCAGCTCAGCTGGGAAAGGCAGGTCTGGGCTTCTGCTTCGGAATGGGAACATGGGAACAGGAATCTCCCTGCCGCTGCTCTCAGACGTTTGCCCGCCCGGGTATATGGGGGGAGGTGCACACTGGCCACCGTGCCAGAGGGAAACAGGGGTGCTTCAGGACTGCCTCAAACATCCCAGCCACTTGCCTCGAGAGAGAGTCTGCGGGGTCCGTGTCTGTGTCGGGCTTTCTGCCTTTTCACTGGGGAGCTGCTTCTGTGCAGCCACCATCATGCCATTGCAGAGAAGGAGGGAGCACGGTAACGGAAAGGCGTGCATGCTTCTGGCTGGCAAAAACTATGAGAGAAAGGGTCAACTCAGGAAGACGGAACTTGACAAATACCCAAAAGCTTCAGGCAAAGGGAAGAGAGGGCCATTCATCTCCCTGATAAAAATGGGCTGACTTCAAGGCTGACGCTTGAGCAGAAGCTTGGGGAGCCTCTGGAGCAATTCTGAGAGTTTGTCTCGCTGGCTGATCTCAAGAAAAAACAGCTGTATCTGTCTGCACTTATCTCCACAGCTTGCCCTGCAGCTGAATTTCAACATTTGTTTGCATGTTTCCTACCATTCATCGAGATACCGAGATAAGCTGCTCAATCCACTACAAAGTGTGTATTTTCAGCCAAGCACGGGTAAGCCAGAGGTCCACTTCGGTTTGATGTGGAGGCAGAGAAGCAAGGCAGCTCAGGTCATCTCTATCTGAGGGCCTGAATGCAGTCGGAGCCTGGTGGGTGACCTGGAGAATGCAGGCTGAAGCAGCCATGTGGCAGGGGGTACTTTGTCCCACCAGCCGCCCCTTTTCACCAGGTGAGATCTCGATGCATGGTAGTCGTTTTGGCCAAGCAGTTCTCCTCACTTGGGTACAGTTCAGCAGTGTGATAACCAGCAACCACATTTAAAAAAAAAGCCCACCCACAAAGAGCAGGTACCCTGGCAGAAAAGAAACACCCGGTCCTCCTCAGAGGCAAGGGGGTCTCCTAAAGAGCCACTTGGAACTGGTCCCTCACCTGGCAGCTCCGGCTGAGGCCTCGACAGGGGTGTCCTCGCCGCAGCCTCTCTCCTCTGGCCCAGGCAAGCTGAGGTCTCTTTATACCTCTGTGTTTGCACAATAGCTGGGTGTGGGCGTCAGCTGAAATTCCAGGATATCCTGCTCCCGCCAAGGTGCAGAACAACCTTTTTACAAAAGCTTTCTTCAGTCAGCCTGGCCATATGCATGTTTTTAATCAAAGTATATTGATTTATGAAAGCATTCATGCAGAGTTCATGCTTGACACAACTAGCACCTTGGGGGTGGACTGTGGGTCTCCTGGTACAGTGAAGTCTCCCAGAGTGAAACTGAGACATACAGAGGAGATGCATATGCCTCTCTGGATGCCCTTCACACCAAGAGTGGTGCAGAATTCATGGCACTTAGAAGAGGTTTAGCACATTTCTGTAAGAAAAAAAAAAAAAAAAATCACAATGTAAACAATGTGGTGTGAACCGAACCATGTCCCAGGAACAGGGAACAGCAGCATAATGAGAGGGCCATGCAAGGATAAAATGCATAACTAAGGGATAAACAGGACTTGTGTAATGGCCTAAGGAGACGGTCTTCTCCCATCATAAATTTTAAGGAAATTAAACACCAGCTATCCATGGAAAGCTTCTGCGGTATCAAGTAAAAAAGACCCTAATTTCCATTGTGGAACCAACCACTGGCCTATTAGGAAATCCTAGCTCTGCTTCTGTACACAGTATTATTGTGGTCTTTGTTTCTATCTGCTCTGTTCTGCTAAGAAAGGCTCCTTGTGAGGACCCCCTTCTGGTGTCCCGTAGGATGGGCTTTAGTGCATCTTGTGGGCTCAGGAGGTCATGGCAGGGTTGTAGAAGAGCTGGAAATAGGGTCCCCTGTGTTTCCAAGGCTTGGTTGCTCAACCAGAGGAATGCTTGTTCTAATGCTGCTTTGTGTCAATGCCTTGCCTTGGAACTTTTTGAAGTAACAGCATTTGCCTGTATTTAAGGTCCAGCAGGACCTGGAGTTTCAACTTGAGTGCTTGCTTTTGTTGCCTGAAGGGCAAGGGACAACAATCCTGGGCTGTTTCCCAGCTAGACCTTGGGGCTGGCAATGGCTGTGATCGCGGAAGGGAGGCATCTTCATCTTTGGAGTCCTCAGAGTGAAAGGAAGGATTGGAGCCAGCACAGCTCACGGGAAAGGAGAAACCCCTTCTTTCCTTTGACTCACCTTCTTTCCTCACCTCTTCATACCTCTTCATTGAGCCAGTGAACCAGCTCCCAGGGGTGGAGGCTCATGTATATACATGTCCTCCTACATCACCAGTGGTGTTTAATCTCTCTCCAGTTCACCTGCAAGGTGAAGAGGCCGCATCCAGACCTGGAGTGTCACAAAGCAAGCTCAGGAGCACTGCCAGTGGCTTCCAGCACACTGCTAGCTCGAGGCCGAGGATTACAATGGATGGAGAGTTGCTGAAATGTGCAAACATCACACATTTATTGAACCAGAATGGTACTGCATGAAATCCGGATATAAATTGCATGGGGAAGTTGAGTTGTGCAGGGGAAGATGGATGGTCATTTCAGTAAAATTCAAAAGCTCTGTTTATTTGCAAAACTAGACTATTAAAATGCAAGTATGCTGCTGTGCTCTCAATGGGAAGCTTTTCTGATTACAAGAGAAATAAAAGCCAGCCTGGACAGCTTTAACAGAGGTTGGTGAAAGGAAACCAGCACACAGACAAAATTAAAAAAAAAAAAAGGCAAGTGGATCCAGAGAATTAAGTGGCACTTTGTAGAGACCCATCTTTCATGAAAGTTACTGCTTTCAATTTCAGTTATGGCAGGGCAGATTGAACAGATCCACGCCGTAACTGTGGGCACAATATATTACATGGCTTCAGTAGACCCAGAGGGAACTGTTTCTCCTGATAAAAGAAAGCTGATTGTGCACCATACACCCATTAATGGCAAAAATTCTTTTTATATGATTTAACAGAATAACCAAACAAGCCTTTCCATTAACACTCTTTGAGGTAAACATGTTGCAGCTTCCAGGCTGCTTATTGTGGTTTGGGTCTTATCCAATACACCAAATTCAACTGGCCAAACCAAATTTACGCTAGGGTCCTAAACGGTCTTTCCATTACATAACTTGAGCAGGTAAAGATAAGAAAACCAAAATATTTTTTAAAGTTTTGTATAGAATCTGTACTGAAATGATTGAAAGCAGCAGGAAATAATCTATCTAGGAAACCACACAGCTCTGTTTGTCTAGCCATTATCTCTGCACAAAATGTATTTAAGATGTGTTTATCAACTGATTGCTTTCATATCTGAAAAAATAACTCGCAAAGGCAAGTCACTTCATTTCTCCTTTGCTTTCCGTAAGGCAGTGCTCCTGGGACACAGCATCTTTTTGTTGCTTTGAGGATGGCAAGGCCACAGCAAGCCTGCTCCACCCTGATCCAGGCAGCAGGATCAGCCAGTGGGCTCTGTCCGTAGCTCTGGGTCGTGCCTCACAAGCTGGATTGCTGCTGGATGGCAAAGGCAGGGCAACAGAGCATCTGCAGAGCTGCACCTCCTACAAATAAGTCTCTTGGCAAGCAGCCAGGAAATGAAACAAATACCAGGAGCCATGCAAAGTCCCGAAAGAGGGATGTCAGAGGCCAGAACCTCAGCTGGCAGAAGAAAAGTTTGCTGAGATTCATCCCGTATTCAAGAAACTAAAAAGTTGTGGAAGGTGCCTACACCTGTGTATTACTTGTCACCAGGTAGGCTGGTAGAAAGAAGTTCCCTCTGCCAGAGACTTTATCCTGTTGGATGTGGTTCAGATTTTGAAGTGACGTGTGAAGTGTGAAGTCTCTTTCACAAGAGATGCTGAGCACTTTAAAATGTCTGCCTACTTCGTTACAGTAAGAGACTGCAGCCAAGCAGTCACTAGCATCTGCCAGGGCATTGCACTGGTGAGCTGGAGCCCAGCTGCCCTGGAGCTGTGGGAATATGTTCTGGAGATCTCTATCCAGCACACAGGGGAAAGGAGAGGAGGAGGTTCAAGCAATTGGTGTCTGAACCTGGATTTTGCAATCTGCAAGTCCAAAGTTTTATGGAATAAAATGACTTTTCTTAATGCAAGTGCTGTTTTAGCAATGGGGAAAAGCCTTGGTGTCAAATGCCAGCTTTGTTGGACTTTCCAAACTTTGTAGGTTCCCCATCATTGACTTGCCTTGCAATTAGAATTAAATAGTGAATGAAAATGAGAAATCATCAGCCCCAGAGCTATAGTCACCAATTTCTTCATGGCTTACTGGTGAGAGGACGGCTAATTAATATGACACAGAACACATGGAAAATCTCACTGGTTTCCATATTGCAGGTGTTGGGCTCATGCAACTACCTTTTAGGAGAAGGGAACTGCGTAAGCAGTCCCAGGTGGGAGCTCTGCTCGCTGTGAAGTCCCATCCTTGGAGTGTGCTTTCTGAAACATTTGCAAGATGATGCCACATCCAAGTGTCTCTGGTATGTCCATGCTAAATAAAAAGTTTTCCACTGCAGTGGAGTTGTGCTATTAAAGCAGCAGGGAAGAGCGGGCACAGTCACAACCCTTAGTTTTTCCATGCCAAGGTTAAAAAATTGCAAGTGTAGCACAGAGTGTAGATGCATTTGAGTTTATTTGTCAAAGAAACCTGGGCTGCTGGTGGAGCACGATTGTTCCCAACCTAAGTGGGTGTACAGATATGAGCCCCCATGGCTTGTCTGGTAAGCAAACTCTTGCCATTGTCAGGAGAACCAAGCTCAGGACTTTAGAGTGGATACCAATTTTGTGAATCATTTTGGAATCCAAAGACCATATTTATGGTAAAGATTAAAGATATGTAAATAGGCATTCTTGTAAAAGAATATAAGCTGCTCTCAGGGAGTGCAATACACACTCCTTGTAGTTTTGTAACTTTGGCAGCCACTCTTCTCATGGGGAGATGCTGTGTGGCAAAGCTGGTACCAGTTCTGGAGTTGGCAGCAACAGGATAGGAGAGAGATCCTTAACAGAATAAAGCACATCCAGAGATGTAGACAGTATGGACTTCTACAGAACTCTGTGGCATCTAGAGGCTATTTTAAATCTATGTTTTTCAAGGCACCTTGCAGAACCTGCCAACTAAGTATTTCAGGCCTGTGCAGCATCAACATACAACTACTTCAAATCGCCAAGGAGCAAAGATGTGCAGCACGACAGTAGTTTGTGTTTCATCAGTTTCCTGCTGATCTTCAGAAGCATGCTGTCTTCA